GAGGGCAGGTTTTGTCAATTTTCCCTATTAAGTTCGGGCTCCTTGTGTAGGCTCCATGCTTCGGAAGATGGCGAACCTTCGGAAACAATAAAAAACATTTGACAATTTTTAGGTTATGTTAACATCTGACAAAGCAGTGTAGCCCTGGTGCCAAAATTTTTATGAAAATACTGCAAAGTTGTTTTAAAATGCTCGCACAAAATGCCAATTGGTTTTATGATTGCCTTGAAAATTGCAGTCATAGGGCTTATTAGTTTTAACAAATAATTGTAAACACTTTTTAAAGCAATTAAACTTTTAAGCAGTTGTTTGCAAGAGTTGTTTTATAACTGAAACCGCCATTTAAATTAGAAAACATTGCTCCGCCATAATGAAATAATTTTAATCTAAAATACAAATAGATAATATTTTTCAGAAAATTTCAAAAAATTTGGTTTTTACGAGCATGTTAATGGCCTATGCTTGTGAAACAGCTTAGTGTTCCATAAGGCAAAAATATACCAAACAAGTATTTGATTAAAGCAATATGGAATTTACAAAGTACAGCAATAAAGTAAAAAGGTATATCAATAAGTACAAATTGTCAGCTAAAATGTGTTTACGACAAAAAAACACTACCTCCTTAAAACCTATTGCACTTAGCAGGTTTTATGACAGCTGTAAGGTGTGCCTTAGGAGTAATACAATAAAACAAAATTGCTTTGTGGCTGACATACAAATGGGGTAGTTAAATTTTTTCTGACCTATACTTTTTATGGTTTTATTCAAGGCGTTTTGTAATTTTAAACATTTCTGTGAAATCGGAATTTTAATTGAGTTTACCGTTTTCGAGATATTTACAAAAAAAATCTCCTAATTACGTCACTAGGCTATTGACAACGTTGCCAGCTTTTTCTATGGTTGCCAGTGTGTTTAGTTTAAGATTCTTACGATAGATGGCGCCACGTTATAATATCTTAGTTTTAAAAACACTTGATCTATAATTTTAGTTGAGAAGAAGAAGAAGAATTGATTTTTTGACGTTTCTTTTTTTCGGGTTATGTTTTTTTTAAATTTAGATTATTGAAAATCAATGTTATTGTTATGTTATTTGTAATTGATATTAGATAAGTGATTTATTAATAACGGACTTCAAAGCAGAGGAATCTTGTGGTTGGTTACATTAAACATTGGAGCTTTTAAACAAATAAAGTAAGTACCTATAATTATAATCATATTTTGTCGTAAATGCATTCCATTATTATAATGCCTAGTTCTTTATATTCTTTTAGATATATCTTGGACTCTAAAATATCAAACAGTAATATGATACCTCGTAATAAGGAAGATAGGTACTTAATGAATTTGGTGACCATCTTTCACTCAACTGACAGTGACAGTATTTGTACATAACCTCTTCGGGTATTTTCTGACATAACCGAATGAAATCATTAATAAGACAACTTGACAACAGGGTAATTTTCAACCAATAGAAATCTTAGAATGTTGATCACATGGCGAGGTTTGTGACGTCATAAAAATTTATATTTTTTGTAAATATTTTGAAAACGGTAAACTCAATTGAAATTCTGATTTCACAGAAATGTTTAATATTACAAAACGCCTTGAATAAAACCATAAAAAGTATAGGTCAGAAAAAATTTAACTACCCCAGCTCCTAAGGACAGCGATAGGATTCTCCTTTTTAGCCCCATGAAGGTTGTTTCTAAGCTTTATAGCTGCTGTTAAAGCAAATAGGTTTTAACTCAGCAAGGCAAATTACCCTTAAGAGTAGTTTTATGAAGCCCTTGTATACCTTAAAAAAACTTATTTTGCTACTTGGGTGGTAAATAAAAATACGACAAAGGAACCAAAGAGATCAAAAGATCAAAACTTCTTGCAATATTAAAATACACCCTCTTTATATGCTCATACATACATATATATATATATATATATATATATAAATATAGGTTATATTATATAAATATTATATATTAATAAATAGTTTCTTAAATGTATTCTATTGTTTGTCTACCTCTGCAAAGGAAGGCATATTTGACTCCAGTCAACCTCCTAAAGTATGCATCTAAAATTTTGGGAATTTTTTCATACATGAATTACAGCTTTATGATGAGCACCAAACAAGTTACCATTGTTCACAATTATTCGTTAATAAGCAACCTTGATATGTCAAAAAACATTACTATCAAATGTCTCAAAAACATGAGTATTAGTATGAGTAAAAGAGACGTATAAAGTTATAAAGTGCTCTTTTAGTTCCACCCTTACATCCAAACTAAGATGTCCCATAAGCCAACTGAATGGCTTGTGCGGGTTAGGGGTAGGAACGGACCGACGGCTTAAAGTCCCCTCCGAAGGACTATAATAACCGGCCTCATTGCCTCATCGCTCCCGGGCTTCGCATAGGCCTCTGTTTCCTTACGCCGATTTTCTTTCGCCACCAGCAACGGCACTTCTTCACCCGTGTTTGCTGGGTGCGATTGTTCATTGCGATCCGTACTGTCCCCTATTTAGGGCTCGAGAGCGAAATGCCTATAGATTTAATAGCCATTCCCGGGTTCGCCGGGCCGATGCTATACGCCCAGTAGGGTCATTAAGGAGGTAGGATGGGAGGGATAGACATTTTGGTGTTTGGGGGACAATTACGCCGACTCAAATCTAAGTTCGACGCGGTATTCCCCTAGACCAGGCAGTTGGACTTACTCCAAACATTTGGGATTACTGTATGGAGTTCGGGAGTTGTTATTTTGCTTGGGGGGACTACGTCTTTGTCTACATTTTGGTCTTTATTGTTCGTGTCCGTGTCCAAGTAGGATTGTTTCTGCACATGTGTCGCCGGCTCGGGCCGTGTCTGCTGAAAATTACCATGCTAAACATTCGGGAACCGCTGCACGTCGTTGTCTGCCCCACTGTGTGAAACCAATTCTTCAGTCTTGAGGTCGAAAACTATCGATAGATAGTTTAGTAGTCGGTCATGTAACTATAGCCTTTCTTGTTTTTTTTTTAAATGATTATTACCGCAGTAGTGCGAAATTTCTAACAATTTTTAGTTAGTGTTGCCCTAGCACGTTTTGTGATAAAATTGTGTTTTGCCTTTTATCTTCATTTCGAACAATAAATATTGAATTTATTTATTAGTTAAACAATTGGTAATCGCAATTATTCTGTTATACTATTTAGGCTCGCAGAAGACTATTACTTAAGGTTTATTTGTTTATGTTTATGTTAGACGATCAGTAATTGGTTTCGTGTGTTACCTACTTAAGATTTATGGGTTTATTGACTTTCGAGTCACGTCCTTGGTCGGGTATGCTTGTTTTTTAATTTTTAAGTCGAACTTGCTTTGCTGAATAGGCATATATAAAATACCTATAGGTATTTTTTGGTCTATTGCGATGTTGGTTTGTTATTCCCTGTTCACCTATTTTGATGTTGTTTTTTTTAATGTATTTTTGTTCGTGAGAAGGTAGAAACCCAGAGGCTTTGTAGGCTTGGTGAATTACGGAATTACAAGTTTTTAGTATTACGAATAGAGCGGTGCAAATATTAATAAAATACTTATCCGAAATTTCGCGGATGCCCCTTGATTCCTCTGATTGATATCCATTTCCCGCCAAATTGAACAGGTGGATGGCAGGGGTGACTATAGTCCTGGTCGATGAGGTGATTATGCACCTTGGGATTCGCGGAACTATACACTGTTGAACGAAATCTTAAAGAATAATTACCTTTTAGGTATTCTGGATTTAAAATGCACCGGTTATTTTTGTATAGTTTGTGGAGCGATAGAAATATACGTCTTACTGATACAAGCTGTACTGAAGCTAGACTTTCAAATTTCTCAAAAACATGTCATATAAATTGGAAATTCGAAAAAGTAACTACAATCTTGTTGGACGGCTGTCGAAACGTGAAAATGTAAATATTTTTCGAAACGAAAATATCTCCAAAACAACAATCTATCGGACAATAGCTGAATGCGAACAAGGAATACCTTGTTTTAACTTACCAAAAAGTGGACGACCCAAAGTTCTAAGTGAAGTTCGTGAAAATAGAGTGGGTACATCTTATCGAAAACTGGCACGGAGATTTCATGTATCAAGTGCCACTATACAAAGAACACTTAAAAGAAGAAACTTAAAACATCGCAAAAGACGGAAATGCCCGAAATACACGCAGAATCAAATACAGAGGATTCCGATATGCTGCAGAGCACTATGACGAATTCATTTCGCGAAAACAAACGCATCATTTTGGATAACGAAAAATATTTTACTCTTTCCAATTCGGAAACTAAAGGAAATGACGGTTTTTACACTGATAACATTAAAGAGTGTCCTAATAAAGTTGCCACAAAGGCGAAAGATAAAGTTTTGTTTGGGCTGCCATTTAAGATAGAGGTATCTCTAGACCGTATGTTGGGCGGGTAAGAGGGGAATCAGTTGTATACCCAAAGATGTCTTCCAAAATTAGTTTATTTTATTAAATAACACCACCTTGGAAACGAAATAATGTTTTGGCATGACCTGGAATCACCTGAGATTGGTTAGCAGCACATAACATACCTTTTGTGCCCAAGAAATACAATCCTCCGAACATACCTCAAGCTCGTCCAATTGAAGCTTTTTGGTCCTTACTGAGCAGGAAGGTCTATAACAATGGTTGGGAAGCCGCAGACGAACAAAAATGTTGCGTCGTAGAATTTATCAAAAAATTCTAGAAGTAGATATAACGTCCGTCCAGAGACTAATGCAACAAGTTCGAACAAAGCTTCGGACCTTTGGCAGTTCGTTAAATAATGTTATTTTTTTCTAGCATAGGATAATTTCAATGTTACAAGTTGTTCACTTAAATATAATTTTCAAAGTTGTTTTTTCGGCGTTTAATTTTTTCCCAAAACTTTAGATGCATACGTTATAACATATGAAGAAAATTTAATTTATTTATTTCATTTAAAAAAATTGTACAGATACATATTGATATGTAAACATTTTTAGCGAGTATCTCGCCACATTTAAGAAAACCGTTGCAATGCACGAGGTGTTCCTCACCCGTCTGGCCAGCCACTTGATCTTCCGCGAGGACCCGCATCTGCACGTGTTCCTCGAATACGACCAGGACCTGTGCGCTCGACCTAAGGGCAAGCTGCAGCAGCTTGGCGGTCTGGTGAAGTCCTTCGGCACAACCACCGACCAATACTATTTGAACGCGACCGTGCGCGACGTCAACGACTTTTTCGAGCAACAAATGAACTCTCTGACCGAGTACCACGGCCAGCTCAAGGACGCCACTTTAAAAACTGACAAGATGACAGAAAAACACAAAGGTACTGAATAAACTACAAAAGGTTCTTTCTTTAATACACTGCGCGTCAAAATAAACGCATAAAAAGTAAAAAAAATCCAACTCTAAAACGCCTTTATCGATCTTTATAAAAGTTTGGATAGAAATACTTTAACTTATATCTAAGTTTGCGTGTTCAAGGGTTTTTCGACAAAAAATTCTTAAAGCCCTTTTATTTAATAATTAAAAACCTTCGAAAAAAAACTTTCATAGGGATTTTTTATTTAAATAATAAATAAATAAATTTAAAAAAAAAATATGCTGTGAAAAACCGTATTTTTGTCAGTATACCCTGAAAATGTTGTACAAATCAAACAAACAGTAACTAAAATACAGCGCTTCAAAGTCGTCAAGAATGACCACTTTTCAGCAAAATAATCAAAAAGGGGTAATTTTTACCGATTTTGAAGCGCTGTATCTTCGTTACTGTTCGTTTGATATTTAGGTACAAAATGTTCAGGGTATACTAACAAAAATACGGTCTTTAAAAGAATATTTTTTATTTACTTCAAAAAAAAATTCCATAAAAGTTATTTTTGGGGGGCTTTAAAATATTTTCTCGAAATACCCTCGAACACGTAAAGTGAGATATAAGTTAAAGTATTATTATAGAAAATTTCATAAAGATTGGTAAAGGCGTTAAAGAGTAATTTTTTTTTTACTTATTATGCGTTAATTTTGACGGGCAGTGTATGTAACACTAGACTGGGACAAAAAAATCAACTATTTTTTTTTTTGAAAAGTATATCGAAAATATGGTTTGGGGTGACAAAAAAACATATTGTGAAAGTTTGAGTCCATAATATTAATATTAAGAGGTCATCGCATTTTTAATTTTTTTTTCCTCAGCAAGTTTTTGTCTCAGAACTCCCAAACCATTGAGTTTAACAAAATTGACTTGAAAATATTTTTTGAAGAAAATTAAATGCTCTACAAAAAAGATTAAAGTAAAATTTTCCGTCAGATGAACCGTTTCCTTAAAATCACGCCTTAAAAATTGGTATAGTTTTACATTTTGATCTTTTAAATTGGAATTTTGTAATTAATGTAAAAATCAGTACCCGTAAAAAACCGATAAGTATTCTGATGGGAAATCAAATGCTTTACAAAAAAACCTCTCAACATTTTTGGCTTCATTCACTCAGTCAAAAGTTATTCTATAATTTTCTTAAAAAAATATATCTGAGTCAATTTTGTTAAACTCAATAGTTTGGGAGTTCTGAGACAAAAACTAGCTGAGGAAAAAAAAATTAAAATTGCGATGATAGACCTCTTAATATTAATATTATGGACTCAAACTTTCACAATATGTTTTTTTTGTCACCCCAAACAATATTTTTGATATACTTAAAAAAAAAATTGTGGATTTTTTTGGCCCAGTCTAATGTAACAAGCTAGAAAACGAACCTTAGAGCCAAAAAATGATTTTCGAGATTATGATTGTTGTTTTAAGAAGATTGGTACACGATCTTTCAAAAAGTCTAATAATAATTTGTTTTTCTCAAAAATTCCCATAAAGTTCGTTTTCTCGAAGCGAGTCACATCTACATATTTAACTAAGTTAAAGTGAACACCATTAAAAAAATACATGTACTGTTCGTTCCATCTATGTTTGGCGCTTTGGTGGGGGGATCACATAAAGATTATGAACGGCAACACATTCCTTATACCGCCCAACTTAGAAAGAACGCAGAGAACGTAATCACTTTTCTGCGAGAACCCAACCCTTTCCATTCTGAATGTCACACAAGACCGAACAAACCAAGTTAGAATAAACATAAACAATAACACAGAAAACAATAAACATTTGGTTGAGTGTTGCACAACAGGTGTCATTAGAAAAATAGCAGAGATAATAGATCGAACGTCAGTGCACATATGCGACTAGCGTTGCTCGAAAGAAGCGGTGTACAATGCGCACTAAGCCACCGCGCATAGACTTGCGTGACTAAATGTACGTTTGATTTTTAGACTTGGTGACCTGCGCAAAATTCAATTTTGCGTTCCCTTTCATTGTACACATGCGACGTTTCATGAACCTCTACTCTTTAATATTTCTATAAAGTTGAAGCTCCTGAATACATACAATCTTAATAGAAAACTTAAATTATTTGTATTCAAATGTCAAAGTGCGACTTTTGAATACAATTAATTGAAATTTTCTATCTGCAACTTTAATGCTTAGTTCGTCCTATTTTCTGAAAATAATACAATATATGTATTTTTTGTGTATAAAGGTCTTAATTTTGAACACAAATAATACTTGTAATATTGTACAGAAAATAAGACGAAATTAGCGTTAAACTGACAGATATATAACCTTAATTCTTTGTATTTAAATGTTAAGGTAGGACTTTTGGGTGGAGCATAGTACATTTATTTCTCTAATTGTGTTCAATCTAATATTTTTTATAACAAATTAAAAATGGAATTACATATTAATATGACATTGTTTTAATCCGTTAGTAGGTTGAATGCAAGAAGAATCTAAAACTTCGTGATTGTATGCTATAATTTTTATTTTACTATTGCAGAATTAGCTGACAGTTTTATTAAAATCTCAGGAGGGTTGGTAACACTTGCTACAACTGACAACACGCCACTAGATAAGTTCCTTTCGAAAGTAGCGGATATTTTTGAAAAGGCGCGGGTAAGTCTCTTATTTTTAAAAGGTAATACGTGCTTCAAAAGGGTGCGCCGAAAATGGAGCACTGGCGAAAGTGAAATAAATATTTAGTGATTGTAGTTTTAAAAAAAAATTAATTTTTTTAAAAGATTATAAATTTGTTTTTAACTATTCTGTATTGTAAAATTCTCTCCTCAAACCTAATAATAAAATAAATTTCAAATTTAAAAAATACTGTTTCGGTTTCGGGACACCCTTTGTAGTATTTTTTAAGATTTTTTGTATTGTTTTAAATTCATTTTTATAATATTATTCTTTATTGTCCAATAAGATCTAATAACAGGATAAAAATAAAATAAAATATATGGCAACATAAGGTAACAAATTAACTTAAAAATAACATAATAATAATAATAATACTTTATTCATGTTACCATAGGTACAATTTATATTTACATTCATCGAAAAAAAATATTTATATAAGAAAATTAGATTAGACTGGACATAAGTAAATTTTACAATTTCTTATTACACAATAAGTAAAAATAAAGCTGTAGTTGTTTTTTCATTATTAAGACACAAAGCGTTAGAAAGAAACCATTCATTGACAGTAGCTTTAGCCTCTTCCATTGATGTTCTAAGTTATTAATATCTCGGTGAGAAATTGCGACAGTAATATCGTCGGCAAAAAGGACAAAGCCTGCGAAGTACATTTCAGTAGGTCATTTATATATATTAAAAATATCAGAAGACCAAGGACTGATCCCTGCGGTACTCCCATATTAATAGGTAATAGCGTTGAAGGTTTTTTGTTAAATATTACATATATATTATTAGTCATATATGAGTGCAACAAGGAACAGGCACCTTTTCCAAAATTATACCTTCTAAGTTTTGTCATAAACAACAATATACGAGCGTTAGATTGTGCCTGGGCACGTATCCCAAGTAACATTTTAAACGAAAACGCTTTAAAACAAAGTTCTTGAAAACCATAATAAAACTAAAAATGTTACTTGGGATGGTAGGTCTATTACCTTAACGCTGACGGCATATGCCGTTGATGACGTGCACCCATGCAGATTTGGCCGCGACTATACAATGCTTTTAATGTTTTAGAAAATTGAAAGTAGGGTGGCGAGCGACCAAGACTTGAAGTTAGCCGACACATTAAGGTACTACATGAGAGATAGTCACGCTGCGAGGGCGCTGCTGGTACGGCGTTTAAAATGCTTGGCGACATACGAGAATGCGAATCGAACGCTCGAAAAAGCCCGGCACAAGAATAAAGACATACATGCGGTAAGTGTAAAAGTAAAAATGCCACTTCTAAAAAAACTCTTAAAATCAATAATAAATTCCATACCAACGTTTGTTGTTAATTGTAGCATAAGCTATATACCGTACCTTCATTTGCAAGCTATACATAGGGAAAATACATTGTAGGTGGACCAGACAAGTTGAAGTCAGCGCAAAGCGAAAAAGTTCTCAGAAATTATTTGGACGTAATAAAATTTTAATCGCCAGTAAACAAGGTCAACTGTTACGTCGCATGTTAGTCTACTCATCCACTCGTGAAAATAATTTCTGGGAACAATTTCGTTTCGCGCTGACCGCGCCGACTTCGACTTGTCTGTTCCACCTACAATGTATTTTCCCTATGTAAAACTTGCAAATGAAGGTACGGTATATGTATATATATGCTTTAGGTTTCCACGGGCGTTATATGTATTAATGATTTTCTGGGATCTGCTCCGTGTTGTCGGTTTTTGGTTCTTAAAAGAACCGTATATCTGACGACGTTTTGGTACAATCTCATGTACTATGCTCCACACCTCAAAGTCCCACTACGTGACTACGTACGGAACGCAGTCTTTTGAAAATTTTGGATTTAAGGCTTTTCAGGTTATGATTCTGTCAAAGTATAGTCAATGAAAGAAATAATATGTTTAAGCGTTAAAAATTTATAAATCTTTATAACATCACAATAACAATGGTTGGTTTGGGAATTTAAGAATATAAATACTGCATTTAATGAAATTCTAAAGTGTATGGTGCCAAATACGTAATATTTTTGTGCATTTGGTCTACATATCTGTTTGTTTCCATAAAATAATTTTAACTGAACAGCATTTATTAAAATCTACCTTTTCTATTATGGAATAAGTATATCTGTATTAAAGGTAGGTTAGTATATTATAACAAAAAATATATAATTTTGTAATTTTAGAAAAAAATAGATTTGTCTAACCTTCCAATACAAAATTAGATGCTTTTTTTCGTTATAATACATTCTTCTTCTTCTGTTGGGTAATGGCCTTTCCCTTCCGGGAATTAGCCAGCTTAATCTCGTTTCTTTTAGGTACTGGAGTAAGCGAGTCTAGGATTACCTATAGCTTCTCCTTTCTTCTTTATTATATAATATATATAAATTACAGCTTCTCGTTTTCTTCTTGATTATTTGTTTTATTTTTCAAAATTAATGTCCATCAATATCACTTCAGCCTTCATAGTTCAATCTTAACAAATCTTCTCATTACACTCATCATTTAGAGTCATTTTTGTTACACTAATACACTAATGTCTCAAACATAAACGAAATCACCATACACGCAGCGGAAGTCATACATAAAAATAGAGGGAAAAAAAATAGCAAAAAAAACCCACGATGCACTGCATGGCTGTTTGAACATGACTATTAAATCCTTTAATATTTCGACCATCCTTTGTGGAAATCTATTGCATCGTCACAAATCTAATGTGTTATAATACATTAACCTACCTTTGATCAGGGTTGCCAAATTTTTGAATTCGATAGTCCGTACCGCGTAATTCAAATTACCGTACTATAGTTCGCAGGATCTTAATAAATGAGGGAGTAATATTTTGTGAAAATTATGAATATTTAAATTAAAAATTGTTCATCTTTTTTTAACGTTTATAGGTTTTTTTAAAAATAATTTATTAAAAAAATTTAAGAAACATAACAATATAATATATATATTATAAAATATAATATATATATTATAAAATACATGAAATAATAAAATACATATTACAAAAACTTAATACATATCTATAGACATAGATGATGATTTTGTAGTGTTTGCTGAGTCTCTCCCACCTTTACGGTTTAGGTTCCCGTTACCGGGTTGTTTTAAGAACCAAAAACCGACAACACGGAGCAGATATCGGAAAACCATTAATACATACACACACACACACATATATATATAATATATTGGTGGGTATGGTGCATTAGTCATTGGACCATACCATTCGGGAGACGCGCTTCGAGCCCGACTTGGTGGCGAGATAAAAGGCATTTCAGCCTTTGCAATACATATATATATATATATATATATTATATATATATATATATATATATATGTATTGCAAAGGCTGAAATGCCTTTTATCTCGCCACCAAGTCGGGCTCGAAGCGCGTCTCCCGAATGGTATGGTCCAATGACTAATGCACCATACCCACCAACTCTGACAGACAGCCTGTTTCAACTTGTTGGGTCTCATCAGTGTCAAGCATTCAGTGACGATAGGCACGCATCAAGCTCGGCACTGTTCACTTATAAAGAAATAAGTGACCAGGACAGCGGCGAGATGTATCGGCAAGTCAGTCTGGAGACAACTATATAATAACTTGTTATACATACACATTTTACATTTTACATATGTACCTGTTAAAACCCGAAATGGGTTATTAAGGTTTATTTTCTCAATATAAAAAAAACGAAATTCTTGTTTTTTCCGCTCTAGATTTTGTTTGGGTCAATTATAAACTTGAATTTTTTATCGATATGTCTTACAGATACATAATGTTATTGATAAAATTACTGAAAATTAAAAAAAATAACACATTCAAATTTTTCGCCCTTTTATTTAATAATAAAAAATGCTCGAAAAAAAAACTTTTATAGGGAAATTTATTTTTAAAGTATATAAAAAATATGTTGTGTATTGTATTTTTGCGTATTTTTGTTAGTATACCCTGAAAATTTTGTACAAATCAAACGAACAGTAACAAAAATACAGCACTTCAAAGTCGTCAAAAATGACAACTTTTCAGCAAAATAATAAAAAAGGGGTAATTTTTACCGACTTTGAAGCGCTGTATGTTCGTTTGATTTGTACAAAATTTTCAGGGTATACTAACGAAAATACGGTATTTAAGGGCATATTTTTTATTTACTTAAAAAAAAATTCCCGGGATCTGCTCCGTGTCGTCGGGTTTTGGTTCTTAAAAGAACGTGGAGTATTAGTGGATTTCGGTACAATCTCATGTACCATCTTCAGGTCTTATGGGCTGCTGTTGGTGCTCTGCTGCGAGTTAGAACCAAAAACATATATATATATAACCCTGATCTATTGTTAATTTTTTTAACTTTATAAAAAACACAATTTTTATACCTATTTATTAACTTAATGGCTTGAGAGAACTTAATATTATTTCCATATTATTCAAATTGACAAAAAATAAAATTCAAACAGGGTGGCCACATTTTTATTTAAATTAAATTTCAATGACTTCCCAGTTTTCCAATGATTTAAAAAAAATTCTATGATGTGTGGGTTATTATTAATTAATTTAAAGAGATGAAAGAAACTGTTTTGGGTCCTAGACATAATCAGGAAAGTTCCGCATTGTTAGCCAGACATCAAGTTAAACTGATGTTTTACAACCTGTTTATTGGGTATTTAAAAAAAGTTTACATGCATAACTAAATCAACTCAATGACTAAACCATAAGTATTTAGTATCATTAAAAATCATTTATGCAGGCTATTATTAAAACAATATATATCCCTCTCTCTCTCTCTATTTTTTATCCATACGTCTGGAGTACCATAAGCCTCTCCCTCAGTAATGGAGTTGGTCTGAGCCGTTGTGGCTCTTTTAACCAGTCACCAGTAAAAAAAATATATAGAAACATCATTAAGTGACAGTCACATTCACAATGTGACCAGTGTAGCCAATAGTCTATAGTGAAAAGTATCAACCAAGCTCTTTAAAAGCCCCCAGAAATTGCTAAATTGTTTGGCACTTGAAAATCGCCAAATGTCGCTAATTAAAAAAAAAATAAGGAAAAATAGTTTAAAATAGTTGAAATTTAATTTTTTATCAAGAAAGCATTTTAATATGGTTGACGTTAGTGGCACGGGAAAATGGCATTATCTCATCATTCGCCAATACTAATTATTATTGTTAATAAATATTTTTATGGGATGGGAATCCGAAATTTCATTATCAATTATAAAATGTCACAAAACACAACACTGTGAAAACGCTAGGTTTGGGACACGTCGCATATAGGGGTGTCAATCCCGAGCCCTTTTTCCAATCCCGAGCCTTTTGGGACCAGTCCCGAAAAAATATATATCATTAATTTTAAAACCAATTTAAAATAAAGGAACAAACAAACTAAGGAACGATATCTTTCGGATTTCACACTAGTTGGAGGAATGGTTTTCAAGAATTCGTAGGCACATTGTACCCACGTTTACCCCCCATTAACAAATAATTCCATTTATTTTATCAATCAGGCCTTGGCGAGTTTCAATTGGGGCTGTAACTTACATTGAAATTTGATAGATGGAACCACTCTTGCTATGTTATTTCAATGTATTTTCATTATTGTACGGCGGTGTATAATAATTTGACTTTTGAACTGCGTAAAAAAATGAAGTGTTTATATATGCTTATGAGTATTATAATATGAAAATTACGCTTGAAAACAAAGTATATTTTATTCTTTTTAACTTATTACTAAGATCCCGGGATTTTTGGGATCGAATTTTTTACGGGATTCCGGGATTGACACCCCTAGTCGCATATCATTAAAAATGTCCACTCAGTGGACAACCCCTCTGGACCAGTTACTTGCCAATTCTATATTAAATTAAATCAGTAATAATTCCCTGACTGGGAACATTTTCCTGACATTCCCCTGACAAAATAAAGCCCCCGGTTTTCCACAATATGACCACCCTGTTAAACTAAAATACCAAAACAACCTTGTTTTTAACACAACCAGGCAATTCCCTAATGTATTTTATTTTTTATGCTTTCACCTCAAAGTCACCTGAAGTACAAGAGGTATTTATGAAAGTAGCATGTGGTAGATGTTTGTTTAAACATTAAATGTTTTATTTTTTAGCAAAACTTTTAGTAGTTTTTAAAGAATTATACTTTTATGATAATAAATTGTGCAATTCCATTAATGCACAATGTGCATGCCCTATTATTTATTCTTTATAATGTGTGAATATAATTATAGTAAAAAATTGCCTTTTATTTAATTAGGCCGAAACAGCTCAATCAACTGCTTGTGAACAATTTGAATCCATATCTGCTCAAGCTAAAGAAGAACTTTTGGATTTTAAAACTAGAAGATTACATGCCTTTAGAAAAAGGTAAAAAATCAATGTTTTCTTTATGGTATTTATTGTAATGTTTTCTTTTTTCTTTTAGTTTAATAGAATTAGCAGAATTGGAAATAAAACATGCTAGAACCCAACAAGATCTGTTAAAAAAGTCCATTCAAGGTTTAAAAGAATTGCTTTAATTTCAGTGATTTATTTTTTTAATGCTTATTTTTGTATTATACATTCCTATTTTATCACATTTTGTAATCAAGGAATGTAAAAGTTATTTTCTCAAAAAAGTGTATAGTTATTATATAAAAATATATTATATTTGAGATATTATGTATCGTATATCTATGTTGTTTATATTTGAATAAAAATATAAAATATTTCTTATTCTGTTGTTTAAATGGTACACAGATATGTTGACTTCCTGTTCAAAGTGTATAAACCATGTGCCTAACAAAGGAAAAAAAAATAAGGGTAACAGTAAATAAAAATATATATTTTTAAAATATTGATATATACATTTTTTTATATAAAATTACACTACAAATATCAGGGCTGTCCTTATGGAAAATATGTAAATGAAGAGAACTCAAAATTACTTTTCGTATTCAAGGATTGACATTTTATTTACATGTATTTTTTTTAAATTAAAGCTTATTTTCACAGGTAAAAATGGTTAATATATATAATATATTTTTAGACAAGGGAAGAGAATGGACATGTAACTCCTATTCCAAAAAATGGCAAGGAGTTAAGATTACTTTGTGTGTTTCTGCGTGAAAAGTGAATTTAAGACGTCGATTTAATTACTACAAAATATAACATTTATTCTGTTTGTACAAAATATTATAAAATACTCTACTGAGTGGTTTGGCAATGCCATTATTGGGTGCAAATTTTGCACATTTCCAATTCTCTTAGTATTTTTTATCAATTTCATTGAAAAGTTATCATCGTCAATGATATAAAAGTATTTAAATTTCCTTAGGATGTAGTAAAAATTTTACTACACCTCCAGACATTTTGGCTCCATAATGCCCTGACCAAAATTGACCATCTCTTCCTGCATGTTGGAAAATAATTTTAACTAGATTATCTGGATATTTAGTAAAGATTAATTCCACCTAAAAATATTTTTTATATAAATATAATTAAAAATGTCAAAAATATACTTTTCTCCATTCCACTCTATCAATATCTATAAGCCGAACTTCTTTAGTTCCACTTTCATGTCCAACAAGTCCACTTTCATCTTCACCACTTTCTAATCTGGTAGCCAAATAATAAACACTGGAACAATCAAATCTGCCAGCTGTCCATTCACTTACATACACTGGGAATTTAAATTTGTTTATTATAAACCTTAATAACCGTTTATTGGTAATATCTATTTCTTGATATTTAGAGCCCTTTTGGTAAGAAGTAACAAAACATGATTTATCTTTAACAAATTCAGGTTCATCTGGCAAAGGTTTAGATCCTATTGGTGGTTTTTCAATATCAATCTTATCCCCACCATTATGTTTTATTTTCCAATGTTTGAATTCCTTTGCCCCATTTCCATTTTTTAATAGGTTATTAAAGTTCTTAGTAGTTAAATAACAATAGTAAACATACCAAGGAAAATTTCCTGGATTTTCATCAGAGTTTAATCTAAACATGTCCTTCCAAAATATATCTGATTTTATAACATTGCACCATTTTTTGCAAACTTGTGAATATTTAAGCAATAATTTTGGCTCAAGAAAACTTAATATTTTAAATAATATTTCTTCGGGTATATAAATATCATTAAAACACAAACCAATGGCTTCTTGGACTGAAAAAGCATCCATAAATTTAAAATCCCTTACAGAATCAAATTTGTCAACCATGTTTGTGCTAATATTATTTTCCAAAAAATTGCCCATTCGTAAAATTTAAACTTGGGACATTTTTACTTAAAAATAAAAAATATCTTATCTATTATTAAAGATTCAACGCAAAAAACAGGTTTCATTGACAGACGTCAAAATTCATAGCTGCCAACCTAGGCCTAGGTCTGCCAAGTATCACATAGGACCAGTGTTGCCAACATTTTATATAGATAGGACTTACCAACACAATAAAAATTCCCTGTTTTCCCCTACCAAAAAAAAATGTCCCTTCAATCACAATCCACATGGATTGTGCCTTTAATCACAAATTGTGTTGCTTTTGTTCTTCCTAGTTTTGCAATTTTTTTATAATTTATGAAGCAGGTACGATTTCTAATAGAGGTCAAATGTTCAATCGCCTGCTTTATAATCTGTGATCGCCTCCAAACTTTGGGACACGGACCGGAGTCCGGTCACCGGACCGTTTTTAGACAGAAAACCGGACCGGAACCTTTATTTATTTATGGACCGGAACCGTAACCGAACCCATATTATTTTTAAATGTAACTCTACTATATATTTTTTTAATTTTTGCAAAAATGAATTAAGAAAAAACCTAAAATAACTTAAAAAAACGTTTTAAATTTAAAGGGTTCGGGTTCGGTCTCTAGAGTTTTTTCGGTTTTTTCTTAATTTATTTTTGCGTAAATTAAAAAAAATATTTTGTATCGTTCAAAAATCTATTAAATTAGTTTATGCAAAAAAATATTTGTGCACGGGCTATAAATCTATAAATTATACACTCTAGCACGAGTATACCCCTAACAATATATTGTTAGGGGTTCCTGCTGTGTTAATAACAATAGTAGGTACCTAAATGTTGTATAAATAATTATTGTAAATGTAAATTTAAATAAATTTAATGGAAAAAGAAAGATGTCACATTTATACAAAAAATTATTAATTGCAGTGTTAACACTGTAATTAATAAACCCCCTCTACAAAATAGTTCGAAAACTCGCAAGAGTGTACTCTAGAATCTAGATACACTTCAAGCATATGCTTGAAGTGTATCTATAGATTCTAGAGTACACTCTTGCGAGTTTTCGAACTATTTTGTATATATATATATATACAGGGTGTTATGTAATTAATGTTATATATTAAAATACTGAATACCTTTTGACATAAGGAATAAAGGAAAAATATTTAAAAAAACATTTTTCCAAAGATAAAGAAAAAATATGCATTAGAAGTTTTTTATATTTTTTGTGATACGCCACTGGTTACACACTTGTTTATCTCACATACTTCCATACTGTGTGGAAGTATGTGGTTTATCTCTGCACACCTGTATTTTGTGAGTACATAGATACCAACCAACAAAGTAGCTATGCGTTTCCAGATGTAAAAAATTGTAACTAAAAATTTTTCTTGCAAAAAATAAATAAAAACCCAATAAATACAAAAGTTTTATGCCCTTAAAGCTCTAATACCCTTCTGTATTTATTTACTGATCCAGCTATTAGCTTAAGCAATGATTAGAAAATTTAGTACCTTTGAAATTTGAAATCCATTATAAGGACTTTTCATAATTAGCTAAATAATCGATACAATGTATTCGATACATAAATTTATATCGATTCTAACGATATCCCGTCCGTATCACTTGTATCGATACGATAGTATCGAACAGCCCACCTCTAGTTTAGCCAGTCTGATTCCATGGACCATGGTGCAGAAGAAGAAGAAGGCACTTCTTTAATGTTTTAGGTTATAAATTTGATTTTTAGGATGACTTCTCAAATAGAAACCTTAAAACTGGAAATTATAGATCTAAAATCACAATTATTACAAAAGGAATTATTATTAAGCCAGTTACAAGAGAAAAATGAAGGTTTCAACAAATATTCGGAATCTTTAAGCACTGGAGAGGTGGTTCGATACAGTAGGCAAATTATTATGCCTTCTTTTACAGTGGATGGACAAAAATCACTAAAGAACAGCAAACTATTAATTGTTGGTGTTGGAGGTTTGGGTTGTCCTGCTGCTTTGTATTTAGCGGCTGCTGGCATAGGTGATTTATAAATTAACATTAAAACAATTACATTCTTTTTTTCCATAGCTGCTGGTATAATTGCCTTTCATCTACTTGCAATTCTAGATAAAATAGTACTTTATTGGAAAAAATATAGATGCTAATTGTTTTTTTAACATCAATGTAATGTATAAATTAATTAACAAGTTTTAATATATTTCTATGGGCAATAATAGTTTATGTCTCAAGCTTTGTAAATGAATCTTTATGGGCAAGCTGAAAGTTTGTCCAGTAAGCCTAGTAAAGATTAATTGCAAAGCATGACACATACAAACTTTTATTTTCACCTTTAGATAACGATTTTCAAATTTATAATTTAGTTAATGTGTGAAAAGTGACATTTCATTTCATAAATTGCTAGAAGCCTGTAAAACTCTACATGTTTTTTATACAAGCCCATAAAATATTACAGGTCTGTTCCCATCAGTGCTGCCAATTTTCGAATAGAACTACCGATTCTAATTCAAATTATCCCGATTTTTTAAATATGTATATTTTTAAAATACAATAGGTACCTATTTCAATTTGGTTAAAAATGTTATTTACTTTGCTTAAAACGTCTCCAGTTTTTTAAATTTCTGGCATTGACTAAGGAACTTCTGCACTTAAAGGTCATAAAAATAGATACAGTATAGAGTATCTACCTATTATAGAGAATTCCACAAAATCAAAGGCATCCTTCTTTATCCTGATCACAGATGACAAAATATAATTTCCTTGGTATCTAATTAATATAGGTAATATATATTTTTTAGTTTTTAAATATTTGTTTTTCAGTTTTAAATATTTGGTTTTAAGTTTTTAAATATTTGTTTTTTAGTTTGTAAATCTTTGTAAAAAAAGTTTTTACAAAAATTAAACCAATAAAAAAGTTTAACTTCCCAGTAAGCACTAGCTAGCCGGCCCGCATACGGCCCGAATACGTTTTGCCGAATCGGCCGACACATGTATTTGTTCCGGCGTGTAGACCGGGCATGTCCGCCTGGCCGAATGTCGGCTATGTTTATCCGGCCGAGTGTCGGCCAACTATACACAGCATGCCGGCCATAACAGCCTCACCATTCAAAAAAAGCCTTCAGACGTCCTGAATAGGTATATCCTATAGGTTTAACACTCTCGACTATAGCTAGCCATTATTCGTTACTGAGCAGATGAGAATGGAGATGGGGTCTTCAAACAATTAATGTTCAGCTATGCCATTACAGACGCACACTTCCAACTAAATATTGCAACCCATCGCTATTTAGCTCGCTTGCGTAAGCAGCCGTGAGATGTATTGCTTATGCCGCGGCAGGCCGTATTCCGGCCATAAGCGGGCCGGCTAGGGCAAGCCGATGGATTTTGCAGCGTCATGCCGTACTCTGACCGACTTTGGTTAGAACATGGCAAAACGGTACCGAGCTAACATAACGCGGGCCATAAGCGGGACGACTGGGGGCAAGCCGAACCGCCGGTCAACCGCCTATTCCGAGGGAATGCCGAGTGTTTGGTGCTTACTGGGTTGTTTTATTAATCAGTTTAAAAACGTTCTAGCAGACGCCTACATAGGCGCATATGGCGCAAACGGCCATCTACCGATTTTAGACCGAAATCTACCGATTTATTTCTTGATATCTACTGACGTTAGTCGGTAAGAGGGTGGCAGCACTGGTTCCCATAATGTATCATTTACTTGGATCCAAAAACAATAAAATTAACATATAAAATGTCATTTACTAAGAGGTGGAAATAAAATTATATTAAGGATATAGAATAGGATATAGGATAAACGTGTTTCAGACTTTACTTTTTCTACGTTTAAAAAAAATACCATAGAAAAATAATTTTTCTACTATCACTTTTATCTTCCGTAAAGTGTTACAGAATGAAATATGCTATCATCGAATGACAGAATAAACACTCGTGGCGACATCTCTGTTTTTAATATTCAACAAATTTTAGACCGATCCAACCTCACTTTCTTCTTCTATTTATTGGAAACGTAGAAAAAGTATAGTCTGAAACACGGTTGGAATTGCATATTCCGCTCTCGTGAAACCGTCAAACTCGCCTTAGGCTCGTGTGACAAACTTCACTCGAGCGGAATATGCTGTATTCTAAACTTGTTACAGAATATACTATTAATTGAGAGAAAGTGAGCTTGGATTGTACTAAATTTTTCGCTGTGACTAGAGGCACGCTAACGTGCCGCGATTCGAAATGTTAAAGGCACGTTAGTTATGTCATAATAATAATCCGTTTTTGTTCCCCGAGCAATATAAAATTGATGTCAAGCTAGAGCTCATATGGTAGGGCGGTCGCTTAGCATGCGAGAGGTTCAATACTCAGAAGTCGAACATTTTTTATTTCATAAATTTGTTGTTTCTATGTTAAAAAGTGTTGGGTTTGGTTGGGTTGGTTGGTTTGTTTTAGTTTATTCGTAACAAAATCTACTAGAAGTTGTCGAAATTTTTTTATTTCATAAATTTGTTCCTTTGTTAAAAAGTGTTGGGTTGGGTTGGTTGGTTTGTTTTAGTTTTATCGTAACATAAAATCTTAAAATTATGACGTAACTAACGTGCCTTTAACATTTCGAATCGCGGCACGTTAGCGTGCCTCTAGTCACAGCGTAAATTTTTATGAAACACAAAGATCATCCGATGATACAATAATTCATTCTGTAATACTCTGGAATATTTGTCATTCCACAGTCATATTCCGTATTAGGAGTAAAAAAAAAGGTTTTTTTTTTTAAACAATGAATTTCACAATATGATAAAATTTATTAATATTTTTTGTTGACAAATAGTAGATAATCATTGTTTATTAAGCAAAGAAAAGTAACTGGAAATATTTTGATGATTTAAAATTTCCACAAGATTCCACTTACTTTTATCCGAAATCGGTAGTAAAGTAGTCAACAATCGGCAGTAAAGTTAAAGAAATCGGCAGTAAACTAGAACTTTACTGTACTGCAGATTTAATACGAGTATTGTATGCAACCCATTATAGATTTTAAGATGTGTCTACTGCTCCTTAGCAGCAACAAAATAATATTTAAAAAAAGCACCGTTGCGGAGGTCGATTGGACACTTTCATAAAATGTTGTTTAATAAAAATAATAAGTTAATTTTATTAATTAAATTAAAAAGTCGCAGGCGGGCAAATATATCATAACGGTCGCAACAAACAGTATACGTAGACACTTTCAACATTTAAATGACATTTGATTTGATCATCAATATTAATTATTTGTATTATTAAATGTGATTTCGGATAAAATTTTAACATTAAAGTAATTTTTTACGACTTTGCCTTGATACATAAATAACTATTCTCATGAATTGGACACGCTGTTTTTTCGTATTCTTAATGGAAAAGAATTGATTAATAAAAAAAATTATCATAGATCATTATAGTCGCCCCTTGTATACTACCATAAAATCTGTCAGATAAATAGATGTTCTATCTATGGTACAAGAAAGTTTTCTTGTACCATGGTTCTATATAACCTCGTCCCTGGTTCTAACCTTAAAACTAGTACTTTTCTTTACGATTTTTAGGGCTATTAAAAGTGACCAATCTTAATTTCTTCGGACTAAATTTCTTAATTTTTTAATTTTTCTTTGGAATAATTTCTTATTGTAATAAATTACTTAAGTAATTACAAAAGTAATATACAAAATTTTGTATAAATAACTTGGGTCATAATTTCTTTTTTTTTGCACTCACTCACAGTTTTCTGGCATTCTAAAGGTCTTACGCTTTTCTGTGTTGTGTTACCCATCTCTTAATTACCCAACTCTTAATTAATTTTACTGATGGAGTACGATTGTGCGATTGTGCGAATTTGTCCTACCATTTTTAATTTAATTTTGTTCGATTATACGACGCAGGCAGTGTTGTAACAGTTACAATATTTTCAGTATCTAGCTACAGTTACAGTTACTTACCAAAATTTGTAACTAGATACAGATACAGATACATATTTTATTGCAGTAACTAGTTACAGATACAGTTACCTTCAAAAAGTATCTAGATACTTTAAGATACATACAAATTATTTTTTGCTTTAAAAAAATTTAAAATAGAAATAAAAGGGAATTTTAAAGTGACAACAAAAATATATATGTTTATTATTTTTATTTTTTTTATAATATTTAATTTAAAATAACTTATTTTTTATAATTTTTTTTTTTAAATAAATATTAGTCGCAGTTTAATTAAAAATGTATCTTTGTATCTTAGCACACCTAGTTACTTAGAATTTGTAACTAGTTACAATTATAGTTACTAGATTGGGATAAGTAACTAGTTACACAAACAGATACATAAAAAGTATCTAGATACTGTATCTAGTTATTTGTAACTAGTTACGTTACAACACTGGACGCAGGCATGTTCTTTAAATCTTTCGAAATGCGTTTCATCTTTTGTTACGCCATGTTTTGGTTTACCCTCGCCGTTGTTTATATTACTCTCTGAAAAGTCCTCTCGGCCAATGAAAGCCATTAAAATCGATTTAGCCGTTTCGGATATTATATACAGGTTGTTTGACGTTTGTGGTCCATTAAAAGTTTATAAGGAACGGAATAAGATATCGATTTGAAAGTTTAAAAGCCGTAATCATCCATTAAAGTCTATTTTTCTAAAATATTTTGAACAAAATGCCACTTCCGGTTTAACCAGAAAACACCCCGTATATTTTTACATTTTTAAATTCTACATAAAATTCTGGGTAAAATTACTATACCATGTCCGATACCTAAAGTGAAAAGTTTTCGACTGATTAATTTTTTTCGTTAAAATTTGAGAAATGCGCGTTAATCAAAAATAGCCTATAACTTTTTTGTTATTAAGTTTGCGGATATGGTGGTAGAATTTTTGGAATCTTAAAACATTTTCAACAAATTACCTGAGAAAACCCAGGGCAAATTGGGTTAACTTGAAAGGTTAATAACTTTTTATTTTAAATTTAACACACGGTATGTTTTTACATAATCAAATAATTTTAATGCATTTATTTAGCAACAACATAACATTGTTACGTAACAATGTTACTTCGAAAAGCGGGAAATAGAAACGAATTTGAAACCATCAGTTTATGTTATGATAGATAGATATTTAAATAGATAGTTTATTCATGCATTAAATTTTTACAAACTTTTGCACATGTCAGAAAAATACAAAATAGATTTAAATAAAACATCAAAATAACAATAAAATTCAAGATATGTTACTACAAATATTACACATTAAAAATTGTATTCCGTAATGTAACAAAACGATACAATAAAAAAAGGAATCTTTAAATAAACGCATTAGGCAAATCCACAGGTCTGTGGGCAAATCACTGTTTAAAAACTCCTATACTATACTACTATAAAAAGCATTTTTTAGTAGGTACGTTTTAATAGTTTGTTTAAAAGATTTTAAACTCAGAGTTTTTATTCTGTCAGGTAACTTATTGTAAAAAGTAGGTACATAGTAACGAGTGGCATTCCACGATCTTTTCAAACGCAAAAATGCAATGTTTAGATCATTCTTATGTCTTGTGTTATGGCTGTGAACTTGGCTTCTTGTATAATATGTATACTGATTTACTCTTACATATATAAGGCATTCAAATATAAAGCAACAAGGCTGAGTTATTATATTATTGTTTATAAATGCCTGTTTGGCATCGGTTCCGTAAGAAACATTGGCCAAAATCCTAACTGCTCCAAAGACCCTATTTGTATGAGTACTATGTCCCCAACTTAATATTGAATAAGTGCATACTGAGTGTATTAAAGAATAATATGCTGTTTTACACAGTTTTATATTTACATTTTTGTATAATATTTTTATAAGAAAAATGTTTTTGCATATTTTAGGGGAAATAAAATTGACATGGGCTTCAAATCTAAACTCTGTATCAATTTTAATTCCTAGAAATTTAACTCCACACAAAGCCAGATCCTTGTAAGCGAGAAAATAACTTGTTCGGTTTTTTGGACGTTCAGATTTAAGCAGTTGGCAGTGAACCTGAACTTTTGGCATTTTGCATATCGATATTTAGACTAGATTTTACGTCAACTAAGTTCCTTGAAGAAGTTGTTATGGTGGTATCATCTGCATACAAAATCAGAGCATTTCGAGTGATTGTTGGTATATCGTTTATGTAAATTATAAATAGCAATGTACCTAGTAGTGATCCCTGGGGAACCCCACATTTAATGGACTTCACCTCAGACACCCCACCCCCATAAAAAGTCATCTGTCGTCTTTACAACATAACATTGTTGCATACAAATTGGTTAATGTTACATTGTTGACCGATTTTCTCTCAATAAAGTATGCTCTTTTCCATAAATAATACGAAAAATGATATTTTATCATCTTGAATAATAAATAATCAATAATTCTTGTATTACAGGACATATTACCTTGTTGGACTATGATGAAGTCGAATTATCAAATTTACATAGACAAATCTTACACAATGAGTTTGATGTGAGGAGTAATAAAGTTGATTCAGCATTTAAAAAACTTAAAAGGTATAATAAGTTACAAATAGAGACTTGATTATATGCAACATGAAGTATAAATAAAATGTGCAAGATAAATATGAAAATAGGTACATACTTAATAATAATATGAAATAATATGAGTAGTGTAGAATCAAATTTGTATTAAAGACTTTAATTTAAGGGGGACAAATTGTAATGCACAAAAAACAATTACTCACGTGTGTTGGTAAGTGTTATAAATTACACAATTTTTTACTGACAAAACCCATTCCATGAACAAATTTATTCTCGTCTAAAATTTCTATTATAAGATTCTTTTACAGGGTGATTCAAACGCATATTATTCGAATAAGCATTTATAACCCATCAGCGCAACAGTAAAATATGCGATTGCATATAATCCTGTCTCTAGTTGTAAGTAAAGTAAAAACCAAATCTATTGCCAAAACATAATTATTTATTTTTGCGGTTAAGATTCTCAACATTTTTCAATTCCTTGTGTAACACTTAAAATATACTTAAAGTAGTAAATCTTTGCGGTAAATTAATTTATTACAACTTCTAGGTCGTATTCAATTTGTTTTTGCAACTAGGTATATGGCCAACAAATTACGGCCTATTTAAATTCATTTATGAAAATAAAGAGTTTTTATTTTTGATATACAACCTATTGCATTTAATTGTAAAACTATAAAGTTATAACTAGGGTTGAAAGTTTTAAACTTGAAATATTTCATTTAGTTGGAAAAGTGAAATTTTTAAAAATTTCAAATGAAATTTTCAATCCGAAAATTTCAACATAGCATGTGAAAGTTTCAGAAATTTCATTGAAAGTTTCGCAATTTAACAAAAATTTCGCATAAATTTCACATGCGGCCTCCCCTGGGACCTTTAATAATAATTTACAACAGATTCCGAATCGACCAATAAGAACGAGTTATCAAGCGTCTGGGCGTTTTTGTTTAGTTCGGCTTGGATTTGAATACACTATAAGTTATTATTGTTACTTATATGCATAAATTAATTTAAATAATTTAATTCAGTTACCAATTTAATTTGTAAATTAAATCAGACTTTAATTTTTTTTTAAGTCATGAATAATTTAAACTTTTACTTTTGCTATAATTGCATCGGAAAACGGATAAAAAATGCCTTTGGCTCATAAAATTTTGATGAAGTTTCTTTAATTTTCGTAAAATTTCAGTAAAATATTTAAAAATAATAAATATATATAAATATAAAACAATGAAAGTGGCACAATCTCATTAGCTTACCAAAAAGTGCTATATCTCTTTTAGTTTTAGTAATTTTAAAAATATTTTAAAAGGAAATCTCAAGAAATTTGTGGTAAACATAGGTATTTACTATTTATATTATTGGTGCAGGGGCCCACAGAGGGGTAGGAGGTAAGAGAGGCAATTTGCCATGGTCCCCGAGTGGGCTTATTGCAATATTAATATATTACACTTAAAGTGATTGAAATTTATTGAAAGTTTCAATAAATTTCATGAAATTTCAGAAATTTAGTAAATTTTAAAAAATATCATAAATGTCATTAAAATTTCAAGTAAAATTTCAAGTACAAGCAAAAAGTGAAATTTTCCCAACCCTAGTTATAACTAACTATAAAGATATATATAACTGTCATATGCAAGATATAATCGTTTTAAGAATGTTAAGATAGATAAAACTGTCTTAAAAATGTCAACTTATGGTAGTTAAAAGGTCTTAAAAATATCTTAAAGTAAACTAAATAAATGTAGAATATTTTTAAAGGTCGAAAACCTGACACAATGTCTATGTAAAACCCTCATAACGCTTTTTAGAGTTGCTTGAAATGTTCAGAGTTTCCCACACATTGTTGGACACCTTAAAGACAAAAAATATTAATTCAGTTAAGGTAATAGATCTGGATTTTACTAAACACTAAAGTGATTTATTGAAATTAAAGATTTACAGAATAAACCGACATATAACTGTGGAACCAATAAATATTCATGTGAATAGTTCATCAATAACTGAAATTATAAGCAAAACTAAATACAATGTTGTGATCGATGGTAGTGATAATGTGGCAACAAGGTATCTTCTTAACGATGTTTGCGTCTTAAATAAAATACCTTTAGTTTCTGGAAGTGCCTTACAAATGGAGGGTCAATTAACAGTCTATAATTATAATGGAGGGCCGTGTTATAGATGTCTATTTCCTGTCCCACCACCTGCTTATACTGTCACTAACTGTGGTGATGGTGGAGTACTTGGTCCAAGTAAGAATACGTTTTTAAGCTGAATGTATATTAAAAGTTGCAGAAATGTTCTAGCTGATTCATGAACTGATTTAAAAAGCAAAAACAAAATAAATAACGAATATCTTAAGTAAGGAGTATTGTTGATGTTGGTGTTGAGTTTTAAAACTATCCTTTTTGATCATTTTTCAATGCGAGTTTTGTCATTTGTTTTCGTTATTTTCGAGATTCCAAAATCGATTATATTTAATTAAGAAGATTATATTCAGGAGCTTCAACTCCGCATTAGAATGGATAGAAAACCCGTCGCTTGGCAGCGGGATAAAGGAGGGGAAGTGTACAATGCGCACAAATGATTATTAATCAACCACCCATACACATAACCATAAACATAACCTTCTTTATCTCTGCCCATACATATGCAGTGCATATTATGCACGCATAGACCGTCAACTCACGTGACTGACTGCACGTGCACGCATTGGTTGGAAGACTGACAACAGAGATAAAGTAGGTAGATTGACAAGCAATTTTGGCTTTATTTTAATTTTAAAATTATTATTTAAGAAAATCACTATGGGATGTTTGTGCTGTGTTTAAAATTGTTTTATTGTTTTACATTGTAAAATTCAGCCATTTTATAAGGTGCATTACTGATGACTAAATTAACATCATTACGTTTTCTGCTCTAACGACAGTAATACTAATTAGTTAATAAATTTACTCACTCTTTTAAAAAACTGTTCTGCTTACTACTAAGAAGATTTTATTATAATCTAAATTATTATATTTGCGACATTGGTTTGACGCTTGACAGTTGCATAAAATAATAGAGGTTGTTTAGAATGTTATTTGCACTGCAAATTCACGTTATATTCGAAAATTTATAAATATAGGGACGGCCTGGGTGCAATTATTAAGTGTAACAAATGTTAAGAAAAAGTTAAATTGGCAGCAACCGCTTTTAATACTAATGTAACATATTTTAAGCAACAATTAATTTCTTACCTTCCTATTATTATTTTTTAAAATATATTTTTTAATTGAATTAACTTAACTTACGCTAGACCGAATTTTAGATTTTTTTAATGTGAAAGGCAATAAAATAATAAAAATACATTTATACAGGTAATAATAATCCGCTTTAAAGTGTCAAAGAAAGAAAAAAAATCTCAAAACTGCTTTTTTTACTTGTGACACTTTTGAAGCGGGTTTCCGATACGTAAGAACTTATGCAAGCTGTAAAAAAAAGATGTGGTTAGGGTGAAAAGTTACTATAAGTACTTAACAGTAAATTGGGTATACCAAAAATTGCATGCATTTATCCACTGTGCTGCAAGATCTTTATTTTTTTGGAAATCGAAAATATTTAATGTTAGGTTAGGTTGGGTGTTGGAGTTTCCGTTCATATGTCTGCTGTCTGCAACAGCACAGCCCGGCATATTTTAAATAGTTATTAAGTCTAACAAATATAACACAAATAACCTGGTATAAAACACCCGTGTAAATAGTTATTGATGTTCAATAAATGCAGGAAAAACGTTGCAAAATCATCGTGCGTGGCTTATACTTTAAAATACACAATGATGTCGGAAATCGTAGTAAAACACCCGTGCATAGCGTATGCCTATGCAAAACTGTTTGTAACATTTGAATCTGGTTCGCACATAACCAGCATACCGGTTTTTGTGTACGCTGTGTCTAGTCTCACGCTAGCGTGAACGCAATTTTATTCTTATTCTCACGCTAACGTGAACGCAATTTAATTTTTATTCTCACGCTAACGTTAAAATAATTTTAATTTTATTTTCACGTTAACTTCCTATATATAAATACCTACAGATTAAAGCCTTTTGGTTTTTGGTTAAACCTAAGGCTGCCAACTTTGTCCAGGGGCGGTTTTAGACATCTACTGAGGGGGGGGGCAAAAATAGAAAAAGCCCATGTGTAGTGGACATAATTCTGCCAGCATTATTTTATTTAATTTTACTTTTTAGGTGTCGTGTCATTTGATTTGATTATTATTTAATTAAGTTATTTGATTTGATTATGTAAATGTAATAAAATTTACTAATAATAAAATCGAGACTCTTTTACTGCAGCCAAACCAACCCAAACTCAACAACACAACCCAACCGACCCCGCCCCATTGGCCCCTCCCCGCCCCATTGAGCAAAAAAACCCAACTAAAATGGGTAAAATTAACGATTTTCCAATAGTTAGTTTTAACTCATCATTATTGTTGTTTTTGTCTATGGCAATACATTTTACGTACACTTTTAACAGGGCAGATTTCACAAATCGGCCAAACCGCCTGCCAACGTTTAAAAAACCTCAAAACCGCAAAAATTAGATTCACAGAACAAATTAGATTCTTGAAAGAATCTTAGGTTATGTTACCTTTAGTGACGTCACCGCGTGAGAATAAGAATAAAATTGCGTTCACGCTAGCGTGAGACTAGACACAGCGTTTTGTGTATCGTGACCTTTATCTCTGCAATGGATAGGGGAAGGGGAGATGCGCAGAACTCAATTTTGCGTTCTCGGTCATTGTACACGTGCGACATTATTATGAACCCTCCCAATCCTCGAATTCATATATATTCATATATATATATATATCCCGAATATAATCTTATATTTAATTATTAAGATAAATGTATCTTTCTATGTAATAAAAACATAAAAGACTATATTTAATCATTAAAACAGGATCGACTTTTGATCATTTTTAACATCTGTCATATGTGACGTTTGTCATTTTTAACATCTGTCATATGTGTTAATTTATGTCATTTTTGACATGTAATTAGGTGACAGATATCTAAAATGGGCTATGACAGATGTCAAAAATAAGATATGGCTATGAATTTTCCCCACGATTTTTTAATTTTGAAGTACTGTGCAAATTTTTCCAAATTTTTTTAAATTTTAAAGTACTGTGCGAATTTGTCCTACCATTTTTTAATTTACGCTGTGTGAATTTTGTTCGATTATACGACGCAGGCATGTTCGTTCCATCTTTCGAAACGCGTTTCATCTTTTGTTACGCCATGTTTTGGTTTACCCTCGGTGAAGAAGTAAAAAAAAGTTGTTTATATTACTCTCTGAAAAGTCATCTACCTGCCAATGAAAGCCATCAAAATCGATTTAGCCGTTTCGGATATTATATACAGGGTGTTTTACGTTCGTGGTCCATTGTAAGTTTATAATGAACGGAATAAGATATCGTTTTGAAATTTTAAAAGCCTTAATCATCCATTAAAGTATATTTTTCTAAAATATTTTGAACAAAATGTCACTTCCGGAAGTGACTTCAACTTTATTTTTTAAATAGAACACCCCGTATATTTTTACATTTTTAAACTCTACGCAAAATTCTGGGTAAAATTACTATACCATGTCCGATACCTAAAGTGAAAAGTTTTCGACTTATTAATTTTTTTTGAGAAATGCGCGTCAATCAAAAATAGCCTATTACTTTTTTGTTTTTAGGTTTGCGGATATGGTGATAGAATTTTTGGAATCTTAAAACATTGTTTAAAAGATTCCATTTCAATTCTTCATCATTCATTTTTCAACAAATTACCTGGGAAAACCCAGGGCAAATTGGGTTAACTTGAAAGGTTAATAACTTTTTATTTTAAATGTAACACACGGTATGTTTTTACATAATCAAATAATTAACCTTTCGATTGATGTTACTATTTCCTATACCTAAAGTTAATAATTTCAGAGGAGAGAAAAAATTCCAAAATTTTAAATATTATTTTGTATCAAGAAATCTGTGACGGGTGAGTTGACGGTATCAATGGTTACCACGTAATCTGTCATTTAATGGCGTAAATTTTTCAGGATATAAACAATTTGTTAACTAATTAAGTGCTGTAAGTTGTAAACAATATTATTATTAATATTATTACTGATAAAAAATAGCAGTTAGTAAATTATAAAAAACGTTGACATGCCAAAAATTCAACAAAGCTCTAGGATGTCAACTAGAAAAGCACTAGCTCATTAGACAATAAAATATTAAATTTTATGAAATATTTTAATAACATAAAAAATGCGTAACTAACAATTTAATAAACCAACAATATTTTAAGTAACAATTTTTATTACTAATTTAAAAGTGTTCTCCATTTACATTCAAGCATTTCCTAATTCTTACTTCTACATTAGAAATTGCTCTTCTTGACTAAAATATTATTGGTTTATTAAATTGTTACAGTTATAACAACCTGAAAAATTGACCGTCAATTCACCCGTCATGTTAAAAAATAATATGTAAAATTTTAGAAATTGTTAAATATCTCTTAAATTATGAAAATTAGGTAAAGGGAATAGTTCCATCAATCGAACGTTTTTAAATTTACTATATGATTAGGTATGTAAAATCATGGTACATTTAAAATAAGAAAGTTTTTAACTTTTCAAGTTAGCCTAATTTGCCATGGGTTTTCTCAGGTAATTTGTTGAAAGAATATTTTAAACAATGTTTTAAGATTCCAAAAATGTCATCCCATCCCATCAAACCTAATAACAAAAAGGTTCCCAAGTAGCACAACTGGTTAAATAACTATACCTTTTCAACTTCAAATTGGAAGTAATCAATTTTAAATTGGAATGTAACAATTTCAAATGGGGATTAATCAACTTTTAATTGGTAACTAACACGTTCAAAATGGGAATAAATAAAGTCAAATTGGAAACAAACAAACTCAATTTGGTACTAATCAACTTTAAATTGGAATTTTCACTAAAATTGTAATTCAAACTGTGATAGGTTTTGCAAGTCGAATGGCAGTCACCTTTAAACTATATTAAATTAATTAAAATGCATTAAGCCGGTCACAAACCTGACGAACGTTTGAATTAAAATTTCAGTGAAAATTCCAATTTGAAGTTGATTAGTAACAAATTGAATTTGTTTGTTTCCAATTTGACTTTTTTTATTCCCATTTTGGACGTGGTTTCAATTTGAAGTTGAAAGTATAGTATTTTAAGTAAATTAACCAAAA